ATGTTTAAAATAAGGCTTAAAAAACGTTAGAGCAAAAAAATTACTGACTTTTATTTGCATTTTTATACTGTTTGAAAAAAAAAAAATTTATAAAAAAAATTAATATATAATTATTAATTAATATATTATTAGTTAATTCTTTTTTATTAGTTTTTTTTTCAAACAGTATAAAAATGCTAATAAAAACCAGCATTTTTTTTACTTTAACGTTTTTAAGCCTTATTTTAAACATGAAGTATAATTCGATTTATTAAACCAAACTTTTTTGTTTTATCTTTTATTGGAAAACTTGAAATAGAAAAATTGAATAAAAATATCAACCATTTAAATGAAAAACTTGATTATATTTAAACTTTTATTAGTCCTTTATTCAAGAAACAATAAATTATAGAAAACGTGGTATCTAATTTTTTATTAAGTTTTTGACGATGTTTTTTGATTTATTGACGATAATTTCCCCACCCCCCATTACCGCACATCGGCGCGAGCTATAAGAGAGAGAGAGGGGGGGGGGGGGGGGGAAGAGCAAAAAAAAAAAAATTTTTTTTTCGCGATTAGATTTTTTTGCGTTAATTCGAGCCCTGTCTTAGTTTAATTTATAATAAAATGTCTATTCAACCTTATCAATTTGAACCAAAAAAATATAGCAATTTAACATAAATGTTAAAAATATAATGTAAAAAAACATAATGTAACAAAACAAATTTAACTAAAACATTTTACAATCATTATTTTTTTTATCAAGCAAAAACGAGAGTAACCGTCACTTTTGAAAATATAAAAATTACTGAAATAAATTTATTTTTTTACTAAGGCAATATTTTAAATAAACTTTCATATGTCTAAGTCAATATTCATTTGTTTTTAATTGACTAAAAAGAGTTTAAAATTTGACTTCTATTAATTTTTAGCCGTGGAATTGCCCTTATAACACAAATATATAAATTAATATTATAAAAAAAAATTTTAATATACAAATATATTTTCACAAAATGCTACAAAACTTATTCTTGTAAGTAATTATGTGTTAGTTGAAAAAAAACGACTTTACTTTTAAATTTAATTACCAACTAATAAGTTTGCAATAATGACATTTTGTCTACTTTGTTTAATTTGACGTACTAACGTTAGTTTTTTGAGGCAGTAGAGTCAATAAACTTTGGACAAGACGCATTTTTTTTAATCAAAGAAAAGCTTTTTTTTGAAAATTAAATTTGTTAGTGTGTGTTCATTATTACGTTTTAGAAAAAATAATATACATCAAACATTTTTTTTTAATGCTCTTTCATATGAGATCATATCTTTATAGCACTTAGGGATCCCTTTAAACTGTAAACTAAACTTTTAGCTATTTTGTATGATAGCTGTTAGTCTAAAGAATAAAATAAGCAAAAAAAATTTTGAGTCTGAAATAGCCACTTAACTTACGTTACACGGAAAACTAGGTAAAAAAAATGCTACAACATTAAGGTCAGATTTCTGCAAATCAGTTAAGCGGTTTGTATTTAAAACCTGATGTTATGAATTCTATACCAATTTGAAAAATATATATAAATTTATAAGAGGTGACCGGGTAAGGAAAAAAAAAATGTTTTATTTGACACTATATATCTAACTTATGTTACATCACTTACGTTACCTTGCGATTGTTATTGTGGAATTTTTACTTCTACTATTTCGAGTTAGAGTTATGTAACAAAAGAATATCAAAGGTATTGAACTAATTTATTAAAAATATTTAACAAAGGAAATTTTAAAAAACTGGTGGCACTCTTCCTAAGTGATTTTTTATAAAATAAAAGTTATCAAATTGAAAATAGTTTTTCCATAAGACCAAGAACAACTTTCAAAAATTGTTTTACAATTACAACTTTTTAATACTTATTTGAGTCGTTTAAATACGAAAATCTTTGGTTTGTCGAATTTTTTACTTACGTTTATGCATATTGCCTTATTTTCATTAGGTTGCATTTTTAAAATGATGCAAAATATTTACATTTAAATCTTTTGAAATATTTTTGAAGAAAAACTGCTATCACAGTTTAGGAGGGAGGAGGACTTAGGTATATGTGATCGCTTGTGACAGGAAGGAAGGGGTTAAAAATTGACAAATATGGGGTGACATGCTTTATAGATGAACAATAATAGCATTTACAAACGATTTGTTTCACTAAAACAAAAACAAGAAAAACTCTAACCGATTTTTTTTATATTAGGAGAAAAACAAATAAATTTTTTTTTTCAATGTCTAAATACAAATTTTATAATTCTTATTTTTATTTATTTATGTGTATTTATGTCAAATAAAATAAGAATACATAAACAAATAAAAAAGCAATAATATAAATAATTTTAATTACCATTAAAAAAAAAAGACATTTTTCTATATATAAAAAGTTTCAGTTGTCGGCAAAATAATAATTACTTTTTTTTTTTTTTTAATTTGCATTCACTCCCAACAAGGCTGCAAGCAACCACTATTAAGTTGGGAGTTACTAGG